TGTATGTGTGTGGAGTGATGCTATGTGAGTCAGTCTATGTGAGTCAGTCCGTTTATCAGACTTCCGCTGCATATATGCTCATCCTACATTGGTTGATCTTTGGTTCTGCCCATACTCATTGAAGTATGCAACAGCAGTGCAGCTCGGCTATGGCTGCCTGCTCCTTCCAGCTCGCCCGTGAGCGAGTGAGCCTGGCAGGCGATAGCGCAGCAGCGCTTGTGCACAAAGCAGCCAGTGCCTGAATGTCCAATGCGTGGGCAGGCCCTTCCCTATATCGAAGTGGCCTGCTGCTGCGTGTTGTGCTGCGGTGCTGGGCCTCGGCCCAGAAGCTTCCGGTAGGCCCAGGGAGGCTGAGCCTCAGATCGAAGGAAACAGGCCCAGGGCCTGAGGCGGTTACCAGCACCCAACTGCCCTCAGCCTTTGTTCGGTCCACTTTGTGTATCCGGCCCAGGCCTTGCCTCAGTTACATGCAATGAAATGCAGCCTGGGCCTGGGTGCTTCCAACCGACTGGCGGTGCGCAACTGCCTGAATTTTCCCAGTTGCGTAGTAGTCCAAAATAGGCCTCTTGGGGTCTGTCGAGCCTGCCTTCACTTAGGGCGGCCGACGCTGTTGCAAATAGGGGCCCAGTAGGGCTTATCGAGGCCTTGTGCCTCGCATAATATCCGAAGTTGCGAAAAAGAGAAAAAAAAAATTGCAGAGATTTGACGAAGTCCTACTTGATGCACAAATAATCAATCAATCAATCAATCATTCAACAATCAGTAGATCAAGCAAGCTGGCTACTTGATTGGGCGGATCCTCTGATTGAGAGGTCCGCTCCGATACCAAACTGTCGCATACCGTAAAGGTGCAGACCAGAACAAGAACCGACCTCTCTCAAATAGTACAAGATAGCACAGCGGAAGGCTAATATACCAATGATCCGACCCATCAATGTCGCAATGCAGACCAAACATACATCATCATCATCGCATGGTGTGAAGGGACCTGGCGCTTACACAGGAAGAATGCGCCAGTCCCAAACATACACAGACGAAGAGGAGGGGGGACTAGACGAAGAAGAGGGGAAGATGGGAATGTCGTCAACACCAAGTCTTTGGTACCGGTCCCAAATAATCCCTCGTCCGATGTCTCAATCCCAATGTCGAGTCTGAATCCAAATGTCGTCAAGTCCCAAAGTCACCAATCTCTCTCTCTCTCTCGTAGTCTGCAGATACTGAGAAGTCAGGTAGCGAGATGATGAGGGAGAGATGGTAGACTTAGAAGAGGAAGAAGATGAACTCTCTTTCTCTCTCTCGTAGTCTGGTACTAACCTGTGAAGGTGGCGCCTTGTTGCAGGTACATCGAAGACGAAGCTGGAGCTATGGCGCCACAGGTAAGTCTCCCTGGCCTCCGCCACCTCTCTCTCTCTCCAACACTACTCTAGCTCCTAATAGCGCCCAGCGCTGAAGACTACTCCTAACGCTACTACTACTACTGCAGGCAGCGCTCCTCCAGAGTGCTGCTGCCGAATCCTGAAGACTGCCTCCTGCACGTGAAGTGGCCATGAACTGCCTGGGAAGTCCCTATGAGCTACCTGAAGCCTGCAGGGCGGGCCAGTTCTATATACTGCTGGCCCGTCCGGGAGGCTGCTCTTGCCAATGCCGAAACGTGCCAGACCCTGGCGTTGAAGTTCAAACAAAGGTTGTCTTGAAACAGGCCCAAAAATGGCCTGTGCTAAACCCTGGTCTGGCGCCTGAGTTTCAGGGCAGGTCAACTTTATGAGGGCCTGCAAATGGCCCTCGTTTTCAGGCTTTCAGGCTGAAACGACACAGGGCCTGTAGGGCCCTTATTTTCCGTCTGGTTGGGCCCTCCAGGCCCGTGTGGCTGCGCAGTATGCCACAGGTAGCCACACATGCTACCGTTGTGCTCTCTGGAGGAAAAATTGTGGCAAATCCAGTTCTCTTTTCTATTTCTTTCAGTGAATTAGCATGTGGCTGCTGATAAACAGGTGAGGGGTCTGAATCATGTAGCTGCTCCTCACCTCTTTCTGCCCTTTCCCCCATCTGTGCAGCGACATGGGGCGCAGCAAAGGAGGCACTTAGACAAGCAATCGCAGCTGACTTTCACTATAGACGTCTCAGTCCCCACTTTCCGCTGCGCAAAAAAACTTATAGGGCGTGAAGACCGTTCCCGGCTTTGGTGGAACTTGATCCTGCTCAACGGCTCATATGTGTTTGGGAGCCTGGGCTGTGGAAACGAGATGCAAGTATCTGACATACAGTCTGGAGAAGAATAGGTGGTCCTACAGTAGTAGCCATGCATGATGAGTTGGCCCTGTTTTGCACCGTAGAGAGTAGGCTAGGAATGAGGTACCGAGGTAGATGAGGAGTGGGATAGTGGATAGGTGATTGTATGGCAGGCATTATGACCATTGGTTGCAGGACTAATGGTTCTTTTTTCGATAGGGTGAGGGTTCAAAGTAACATGGAATGCATATTGCATTGGAGGAAGAGGCGTTGGGTAGACCAACTAAGAATTCTAACTACTAATAGGACTGATGTTAAGTCCCTTGAGCTGGGGCAGAAGCGCTGCTATCTGGCACAACCCGGGATCATAAGGTCTGTTTTGGAATGGACAGTTTGGAAGAGTAGGGTGATGGCTGCCCTAAAAGAGGTACAAATGGGACAACGTTGAGCGGAGTAGTGTAGGACCGGGATAATCGACTACCTTGAGATCAAAGCTTGGGTGATGTTAACAGAGAAACAAATGCTAGCTGCGCTTAAAACAACTAGCAGGCTAGTTCAGTTGGTTGAGCACGCAATGGCGTTCGGGAGATCGTTGGTCCGATTCCCCACGCCGTCCATTTGGTCCCCCGCACCCCCGTGCAGTACGCTTCGACCTTTTTTTTTCTTTTCTTTTCTTTTAAAGCTGTCCTTCTCCTCATACGGGGGACAGCTTTGTATTTTTGCACATACATGGACCACTTTGGCAGGGAACACGGACATTCTTCCCTACTCTGCTCTGTACAGGGAGCAGTACCCAGGCTGCTAACACCTGGTGCGGGCTGGAAAGCCTGCAACAACTTCCACAACTAGCCACGAGGCCCAACTAGCCACGAAGTCCAAGCCAACTATCTCGGCTGGTGATATATCCTTCCCCAGGGAAGTAATAACGGCCAATCTCTCAGGAATGCTCGTCTTTTGATTCCGTACTTCTCTGGCCTGTGGTTTGCTGATGAGGTGATCTTTCGCCATCTGCTTCGGATTCCGGTTTCCACCATCCTTAGCAGTAGGGACCACATGTCCTCCCTTGCCACGTCTGTTCCCTCGATTGTCTGTGTGCATGTGCACTTCCATATGACCCAGAGTGCCAACTTCCTGAGTAGTCGGAAGCCGACTTCCTTGCTGTCTTTGAGACTCCAGGGAGTGTTAGAGAGAAGTAGGGTGGTTAGAGGGGTGGTGTTGGGGGGCGGTGAGGACAAGATGATAAACCATAGGTCCAGGACCTTGTTCCAGATCCAGGCCGCTTCAGGGCAGAAGAGAAGGCAGTGAGGGATATCTTTCTGGTGTGCTGTTGTTGCACAGAACACAGAGTTCTGAGCTATTTGGGTCTGAGTGTTTCCTCCTTTTGTGGAGCCACTGATTGACGGGTAGCACTGCGTGTGCTATGAGCCATTGCATGCTCCAGATTCGTATGGGTCTGATAAGGAGGTATTCAGTCCAGGGGATGGTGAAGGAGATTGTGGGGTCTAGACTCAGAATATTTCTTCATTTTTCAATTAGCCCGAGGTTTGGATCTGCCGTCTGCAAACTGAGGTCGTAGCCGAATTTTACATCGTATTCAAGTATCGTTCTTATTTTCCTCATTTTACCCTGCTTCCATAACCATTCCTTGGGGTCAATTTCCAATTGTTCTATGCTGAGTTTTGGCTGGAAGATTATCCATGGTTTGATCTGTGATACCCTAATCTTCCTGATTAAGGTGGTCTCCAGGAGCTTGGACTGGGGATCCGTGTTTTGGACTTCCAGTTCCTGAAGACTGTGCTCCGAGATGGGGTATGATACGAACTTGGACTGGTAGTTGGAAGGGGGCTACTTGGGTAACTTTGGAGAATTGATGTGGTTGCTGCATTGAAAGTCGCAGTCTTTAAGCAGCAGGAGCATTGCTACAGTGCAGAGGGAGTGGACGATCGTGGCTTGGACCCCCCTGAGCTTCTGGGTATGTGAAGCGTCTCCTGGCTAGAGGGGTCCAAGCGAATGAAAGTCTGGCTGCCACCCGCTGCATTTTAACAATAGATCACTGCCTGAGGTTGCTCGTAGCAGGGCAGAGCTGCTCCTCTTTTCATTTGCAACATGTGTCCATGCTTGCCGGGAATAAGCAACCGGACTGTCGCCCCCCAGAAGGAAGGGGCATGTGTTTGTTTTGGGTAAAAAAAAACAAAAAAATGATGGATCAGCCATGATAATGAATCTGTGAACTTTGTCCTAGTTCCGTATTGCTGGTATGTTCTAGCTTCGGATTTTGGCCATGAACTTCGCATATTTGTGCATGGTGTTGCATGCTGCACCTGCACACGAGGGCCATTTTCCAGGCCCTGTGTCCTTCAGGCTAAAAGCCTGAATTTCAGGCCGAAAGCCTCAAATTTAGGGCCTACAGGCCCCATGTCTGTTCAGCTCGGAAAGCTGGAAACAGGGACCTACAGGCCCTGTGTCGTTTCAGACTAAAAACGGCATGAGCCCTTTAAGCCTGAAACTGAGGGCCATTTTCGGGCCCTCATCAGTCCGACCTGCCCCGAAACTCAGGCACCAAACCAGGGTTTTAGGAACAGGCTATTTTTGGCCTGTTCCCACTACAGCTGCAGCGCCAGCCCCTGGCTCAGTTCGGCATTGGCAAGAGCAGCCTCTGGACTGCCCGCCCTGCAACTGCAGGCAGTCGGAGGCAGTCAGGAGGCAGGCCGAGATAGTACATAGGGACTTCCCATGCACTTCACGGGTAGGCAGGAGGCAGTCGGTAGTCTTCAGGATTCGGCAGCAGCACTCTGGAGGAGCGCTGCAGGAGTAGTAGTAGCGTTAGCATTAGTCTTCAGTGCTGGGCGCTAGTAGCGTAGCTGTAGTCTTCAGCGCTGGGCGCCATAGCTAGGATAGTACTAGAGAGAGAGAGATTGGGCGGAGGCCAGGAGTACTTACCTGCAACGCCGTTGCTCTAGCTTCGTCTTCGAGCTACCTGCATCACAGCGCCAACTTCACAGGTTAGTACCTGGTTCGTGAGAGAGAGAGAGTTCTTCTTCTTCCTCTTCTCAGTCCACCATCTCCCTCTCTTCCTCTCATTATCTGACTTCACTGCATCAGCAGACTACGAGAGAAAGAGAGAGAGAGAGAGCTTGGTGACMTTGGATCCAGACTCGACTTTTGGGCTTCAGAAATTTCGACGAGGGATTATTTGGGACTTGTGACAAAGACTTGGTGTTGACGACATTCCCATCTCTCCCCCTCTTCTTCGTCTGATCCCCTCCTCTGCGTGTGTATGTCTGGACGTTGCGCTTCCTTCCTGTGTATAGCGCCAGGCTCCTTCACACCTTGTGATGAGCATGATGTATGTTTGCTCTGTATTGAAACATTGATTGGACTAGTCATTAGTATTCTAGCACTCTGCTTCGCTATCTCGTACTACGTGATAGAGGTCAGTCTCGGTCAGGTCAGGTCTTGTATCTAAGTCTTCCCTGCGCTATTCAGCACCATTTTGTATGTATCAGAATGCACATCGCTTGTTGAGATTCTACTTACACTGCATTGTCCATTCAGTCCTTTTTATCACATTGCGGATCCTCGGTTATTATGTACATCGCCCAACTGGGCATGTAACAGTTGGTATCGGAACACCGCACGTGAATCAGGACAACCTGATCTGACACGTGTGCGGGGACTAGGTAGCTGATTAGTCTTGATAGATTGATTAGAGCACACTAGTTAGCCCCCAAAATCACGATTTTGACTTCACTGCCAAAAATCGAAATTTTTTTTCTTTTCTTGGATTTTGTTTTCTCGCTATTTCTGTTGTGGAATATCGCAATAGCGCAACATCTGAAATTTCCATTTTCGTTTTTCTTCTGAAAATTCGAAATTTCGTTGTTGAAAATCCGGAATATCCTTCTTTTCAAAAATTTCGATTTCCTGTTGCATTTCCCGTTACTTGGAAATTCGAATATTTTTTTCCCGAAATTCGTTTTTCTGAAAACGGTACGGGAAATCCCTCCTGCGGGTATTATTTTCCAAACTGCAAATACTCTTATCTGAGCAAGTCCGAATATTTGATTTCTTTTCGGAATTTTTTTTTTTTCGCAGTTCGAGGATTCTGTTAGTCAGTTCTATAAATCATTTGCAGTCTGAAGTTCAATTTTTTTTTTTTTTCTTCATTGATAGTTTTGCACTTCAAGGGAGGTTGGGAGACCTACTGAACTTGCAAAACTCGGGATTCTTATTTTTCTCGAATTTTTTTTTGCAAAGTTCAAACTTTTCTTTTTTTTTATTAGTGGCTCCTTATCTGGGCGATTTTTCCCACCCACCCTCCCCACCTATGTTGTTGCCCCCTCTGGTCTTACCTTCTCTATCTATCTCCGGGTACCCCCTGCAGCGGCATTGGTGAGTTGCCACGTCAGCAGGCCACGTCACCAGACTACGTCAGCAGGACACGCCAGCAAACCACATCAGCAGGACACGTCAGCAGGCCACGTCAGCAGGCCACATCAGCCGACAGCAGTGCCACGTCAGCAGCAGGGAATACCATGTCAGCAGGCCCCGGCCTGGTCTATGCTGTTGCGTTCACAAATAGCCGTCATGGACCAGAGGTACGGGGAAACAGACGAGGCCTATCAGGCCCGGATGCTGGCCTGGAGTACCGAAACCAAGAGACGGGCGAATGACGCAGCAACAGCAGCGAAGAAGAAGGCAGAGGATGCCGAGCAGGCACGTCTCCTGGCAATTGAGCAGCAGCGCCAACACGATGAGGCAGCAGCAAAGACTGTTGATGAAGAACGAGTTCAACGGCGGGAGAAGATATTTAGCAGAGAGCAAACTTTTCTCACAATAGCAGCAGATTGGCAGGCCGAGGCCGAGAATGGCAAGATGGAGGATCGCGAAAACAAGATCGCTCTACGTCTCTCCCATCTCACGGACCTCCTGGCAACATGCATTACACATCAGGAGGACATCCACAGCCTCGACGACGCGCTGACTCAAGTCCACGGCCGCCTCCGGCAGCTCGAGCAGCGACCTGTCACCGCCCCTGATGCCAGCTCTTCCAACACCTCCAATCGCCTTGAAGCATTGGAGATGGACGTCGGCTCCCTCAAGGACGGCGTGCAGTTACAGCAAACCGCAACGCAACGGTTGGAGCAGCGGATCTGTACTACCGCCAACAACTCGAGTTCGGAACCGCGCGAGACAACTCCAAAGTTTGACGGGCAGGAGATCTTCTGCGACTCGACGAAGACAGATCCGATTCCATGGTTCAAGTTCGAGCTCACGCTGCAGCTACACTACGTCAAAGAACACAAGCACCACGCGTACTTATACTCCCGGTCGGGGGACGCGTGCCAGGCATGGTTGGACAATCTCTTGTCCAAGTACGGAGTGGTAGCTGCCGACTTGCATACCAAGATCAGCTGGGATGATCTGAAGGCGGCGTGGCATAAGCGGTTCGAAGTAGAGCCGCCGGAGATCAAGGCAATGGACAAGCTAATGGTCTTCGAACAAGGCACGCTGCCCAGTGTCGACTGGATTGCCGAGCGCCAACGCTTGACATCCGTCCAGACATCCAGATGGGCTTCAAAGCCATCCGCCACTATTTCATCTCAAGGTCGTGTCTGGCATTAAGCAATGCCCTGACTCACATCGAGGACACCTTGACGACAAGGGTGAAACTCTTTCACAAGGCCGCGCAGATTATCATCACGAACAAGGAGGCTAAGAACCTGCGTTCGCCTGCGCCAGGTCCGAGCAGAGACCAGCATCGGCCAAGAGTGGTCGTGGCCGCGGCGACAACGCTGTTTGACCAAACTAGTGAGGCCGTGTCTGCCAATGAAGGGGACAGACTCGCAGCCGCCCGGGAAGGTGGCCACCCCGGCAAAGGCCGAGGACGCGGCAAGATGAAGACAAACACCACATTTAGCCCCGGGTCCGGCGCAGCAGCTCCAGCCCCATGGTCCCAAAACGGTCTCTCTGAAATGGCATACAAAGCACGCACGAGATTTCACTATTGCCTATGGTGCAACAGCGATCTCGATGAGGTTCGTGCTGGTCTACTTAGACGATATTCTCGTCTATAGTCGGACATTGGAGGATCATCTTGGGCATCTTCGAAGAGTGTTGGAGACGCTCCGCCGCGCCAAGTACAAGGCCAACCGCGACAAGTGCGAATTTGTCCGGCAAGAGTTGGAATACTTGGGCCATTTTGTCACACCGGAGGGCATCAGTTCGCTATCGGACAAGATTCAAGCCATCCAAGAGTGGTCGGAGCCTCGGAACGTCACGGATGTCCGTTCGTTCCTTGGCCTCGTCGGCTACTATCAGCGATTCATCAAAGGCTACTTGAAGATCGCGGCCCGCTTGACCAAGCTTCAATGCGAGGATCGGCCGTTTGACTTCGGAGAGGAGGCGCGGGAATCATTTTTGGCTCTCAAAGCCGCGCTATTATCTGCGGAGGTCTTGTGCATATACGACCCGCTTTTGCCTACGCGCGTCACTACGGATGCGTCCGGCTATGGCATTGCCGTCCTCGAGCAACATGATGGTGTGGACTGGCACCCGGTCGAGTATTTCAGCAAGAAAGTGCCCGTCGTGAATTCCATTGACGATGCACGCAAGAAGGAGTTCCTCGCCTTTGTCCACGCGCTCAAGCGGTGGCGGCACTTCCTCCTTGGTCAAAGCCACTTCCGATGGGTAACGTACAACAATCCGTTGGTCTTCTATAGAACCCAAGATACCGTCATCAGCACCATCGCTCGATGGATGGCTTTCATCGACCAGTTCGACATCTTTCCCGATCACATTCCCAGGAAGTCGAACCGTTTTGCGGATGGATGACTTTCATCGACTAGTTCGACTTCTTTCCCGATCACATTCCCAGGAAGTCGAACCGTTTTGCGGATGCTCTTTCACGGCGTCCGGATCATTGTACCGCGGTCTACTCAACCTTCGAGATCGACAACGACCTGCGGAACAGCTTCATCCGCGACTACCAAGCCGACCCCGAGTTTCGCGACAAATACGCGAATTTCTCCTCTCCTAATCCGGCGCCTTCTCACTACCGGATCCAAGAGGGGTACTTGCTTGTCCATACACGGGGGAAGGACCTTCTTTGTGCACCGAGTAATCCTCACTTGCGTACACGGCTTCTTGGCGAATTCCACGATGCTCCCGCCACCGGACACTTTGGAGTCAATCCCACGATTGGCCGACTTCGCGAGCGATTTTGGTGGTCCGGCCTTCTCGGCGACGTCACACGTTATTGCAAATCATGCGAGGTTTGTCGACGCTGCAAATCCCGCAACCATCGTTCGTACGGCGAGTTACGACCATTACCGGTCCCTTTGCGACGAAGGGAAGCGATTGCCATGGACATTATCGGCCCGTTCCCCAAGCACAAGACCGACGTGGATGGGATTCTCACGGTGGTCGACCGACTCACCAAGTTCACCATGTTTTTGCCTTGCCGCGATCATGCCAAGGCACCGGAGTTGGTCGAGGTTCTTTACGCCGGTTGGATTCGAACCAAGGGTTACCCCAAGGAAATCGTCTGCGACCGCGACACTTGGTTCATGTCCGATTTTTGGTTGGCGCTCATCAAGCGATGGGGCTCATCTCTCAAGCCCAATTCAGCTCGCCACCCCCAGACCAATGGCCAAACGGAGAGGGCGCACCAGACCACACAGGTTCTCCTTCGCACTCTCATCCGTCCTGACCAGAAGGATTGGGTTGAGCGGCTGCTGGATGTCGAGTTGGCCTACAACTCCTCCATCCACCCGGCTATCGAGATGTCGCCCTTCGAGTTCGAGCACGGCTCGCCGGTCACTTCGTCGTTGGACACCATCACTCCACGAACGGCCGAGAGCGACGACCATCTCCTTTTCTTGCGACAGATGCAAGAGCTATTTGTCAAGGCACGCGACCAGATGGCCAAGACGCAGCAACGCATTAGCCAACAGGCCAATCGTCAGCGTCTTCCTTGCCCATTCCGCGTCGGCGATCTCGTTTGGGTCTCCCCCGTGGAATTCAGCCTTGAACAAGATATCTCTCACAAGCTCCTCCCAAAATGGATGGGGCCTTGGCCGATCGTGACACCCGCTGGGGATGCGCACCCGAGGGACCTTCCTTCACTATTCAGGTGCCCGCCCACTTGCCCGTCTACCCAGTCTTTCATTGCTCCAAGTTGGCTCTTTACACGCCAGCGGAACATGACGATTTTCCCGGGAGACGTTCGCAAGACCCACCCTCTATGGATGGTTTTCAGGAGGTCCGCGACATCATCTCCCAACGACGCTACGGCAACAGGCCAACCGAGTACTTGGTACATTTTGCATACTGCACACATCAAGCTGACTGTTGGTTGACCCATGCGGAACTTCAAGCAACAGCTCCAGATGTTCTCGCACGCTACGAACGCAAGATGCAAGGCAAGACGGTCTCTTTGGCTCCACGCCACGCCCGCGTCCGGGTTCCATCTTCAGATCGTCAGCTTTGCCCTCGCCCCGGCTTGACTTCATAAGGAGGGAGGGGTGTTACATGCTGCGCCTGCACACGAGGGCCATTTTCCAGGCCCTGCGTCCTTCAGGCTAAAAGCCTGAATTTCAGGCCGAAAGCCTGAAATTTAGGGCCTACAGGTCCCGTGTCTGTTCAGCTCGGAAAGCTGGAAACAGGGACCTACAGGCCCTACGTCATTTCAGACTAAAAACGGCATGAGCCTTTTTAGCCTGAAACTGAGGGCCATTTTCGGGCCCTCATCAGTCCGACCTGCCCCAAAACTCAGGCACCAAACCAGGGTTTTAGGAACAGGCTATTTTTGGCCTGTTCCCACGACAGCTGCAGCGCCTGCCCCTGGCTCAGTTTGGCATTGGCAAGAGCAGCCTCCTGGACTGCCCGCCCTGCAACTGCAGGCAGTCGGAGGCAGTCAGGAGGCAGGCTGAGATAGTACATAGGGACTTCCCATGCACTTCACGGGTAGGCAGGAGGCA